GATATATTCTTGTAAGATCTGGCGGTGTACGATCAGAAAGAATTGTCACGCGGCCATATTTTATTATTCTTAGAAAATAGGTAGAAAATTCAACATCAAAAATTCTAGTTAAATAATAAAAAAAAAGAAATATGATAAACAGCAACAACAAGATCAACTTCCGTCCAACAAAAAGGTCGGAAAGTCAAGGCTATCTGTGACTGGGAAGTTCCTGATTATTTGAGCAATATCGCAAATGACGATACTAACTAAAATAACATTGGCCGACGGTAATATTCCGATGATCCTAATGAAAGAAAAAATATTGAAATGCTTACCTAATTTACGCCTTTTGGGCTAATTGCCCCAGTTATCTTCTTATATGGTGAATAATGACACCGAATAATGAAAAAGAAGCGACGAAAATAAAACGCAAATTGTGGCATTGAGTAATTCACCACCAAAATTATCAACTAATTCCTGGCCAGTTTATTATTTAGAAATTCCAACAGCATTCATGGCGAAATGACCAATTGATTCAACATTGCGTTGGTTCCAATCAACGACTAGATACCAATGTTTGGACGACCATTCAAATGAAGATTATGGAGAATTAAAGATAGACTTTAGTGATGCAGTAGTGATGATAATAATGACAATAGTAGTAGTAATGACGGTAATAATAATGATAATAATAATAGCAATGAATCGGTATCTTTATTATTGTGTATAAGAAAATTATTTACATAAAAACTATTTTCTTTAAATAATTTAAATAACAAGTCAATTATTTTTTTGGTTTTTCTTCAGTCAATTCAATATTTTTCTCTGGAACCTATTTTTTATATTTAATTAATAATTTATATTATTATAATTTATAATTTATATTATTAGTTATTTATAAAATAAACAAGATATAAAATGAATAATAATTACATTCGGCCATGTATCCAAAATGAATCTATACAAATCATCAGAAACATCTCCTTGAACAACAATTTCTTCATTTCCTTGATTATTTTTCACAACAGATGATCCACACGCAAATTTATTTGCAAACAGTTTTGCTGCTTTTCTCAATTCAATATCTGAATAAATGGAATAAGTAAATAAATATCTCACCCTATCTCTTTCTGAGACTTAAAACAAATCTATAAATTACCAAAATGATGTAAGCCATAAACATTTGTGACACTTTTTCGTTTATTTCTTGCAATACGTGTGATTATTATTTTAGATGCCTATTACATATATTTATATATTCACATTAGAATTACATTCATTTTGTGAATGTATATATGTATATGTAGATAAAGACTTGTACCATCTTTTTCTTAAGTTCACGTTCTAGTTTTGCTGCTTCTATTAATTGATTGATTGATTGATAATTGATCATTGTAAATAACGACTTTAAATTCCTCAAACTTGTAAAAAAAACATTTGTTACCTTTTGCTTTTTTTTTTTCATCTGCTTCACTGATTGTTTTTTTACCTTCTAATGATGTGCCAGCTAACTTTTGTTCAAGACTATCTGAATAGAAGAATCATAATCATCAAGGAAGAAGAAAATCAATATTAAAAATTTTACATTTTATATAATAATATATTCAGTAATATTTGTTACTTGCCTTGTGAATATAATTTCTCAAATAGATCTTGGTGATTTTCATTCAACCATTCTTTACATTTATCTGTGGTGGGTCCAAATTCACAATACTAGTTGGAAAAATATTCAGTCATGCATATATATACATCCGTAAAGTTAGTAAATAAAAAAAAAATTGGATGATTTTTATTAATTCATAATAACTTACTTCTGGTGGAAGAGTACAAACTAAAATAAAAAGAATTGTAAAAAGTAACGTTAAAGAATTACTGAATTCATTAGAAGAATTCATTAATTCGAAATATAAATTTTCATTAAAATGAGTAAATAAATAATCATTATTATTATTTAGGTCAAGAAACTTACCACCACAATATATTATTTGCTTTGCTGAAGATACGACAGTTGCATCCATTATTATTTTATTATTATTTGGGAAAATTTTTGCAATTTTTAATTTTATAAAAATTTCAGGGCCCAAAAGTTTTTGCCCTAAATCACACTACATGAAGTTATGCATACTTTTAGATATACATACATGCTAATAAAAATAAACAATTCTTTTTTATTTAATAAAACACTTTTGTGATCGGAAATTAAACAGTAGGGTTTAATTGTCCATTTTGCTATCAGAGTGATATAGAACTCTGAGGTTTTGTAATTCGAGTCTTGGTTATTGGTTCTAGTTAAGAAAGCAAGGGTTTAGTTATGGGTATTTGTTTAAGTGTAAACGTAAGGCATTAAGACTGATTGGCCAAAGTATTAAGTGTTAATTAATATTACGTATATTTCACCTATACAGTTGGTTCTGAAAATACAAATGGGAAAACCGTAATAGTAAATGAAAATAATAATAAATGAATAAAAATTTCCACAATCAAATCCCGTAAAGAATTTCGGCTACCATAAACATAATTATTGACTATTACTATACTTACAAAAGTTTTAAAATTTTTACACCACTCACCTATTTTCTTGCCAAGCCAATAATAACACACAACTCAGTTAAACTGCTATTGAGCCATAATTTTTTACCTGCCTCAATAATCTGAATTTTTATTTTAACAATCAAACACATTTGATCTTTAATGCACAGATAAATGCTTTGTAATAGATAATTACGGAGCCAATAGTAATCACGGGAGCAAATCACCTTTACGGTGTAGCAGCCAAAATTTATTTACGGAGTTACGGTTTTTAATATTAATATTAAATTTTCTTCCCGTAATTAATTACTATTATTTTTAGAACCGTAATTCCGCAACAATTATAATTACGGAATTACAGAGCCAACTATCATTTCACCATGTTCTATTTTTTTCAGTTAAAAAAATGATTTCCTTTTCGTAAAAAAATTAAAATTTTAGATGAGATAAATTATTATGTGCGTTTCACACTTAACCATCTTTATGGATCGTAAATTGAGGTTCAATGGGGTCCCAGTTATTATATTTATATCCAATGACATCATCAACGACACGCTCTTGACGTTTAATATTAGTAATCAATATTAGCCATTTTCTATTCTCGATGATTTTATTTATTAGATAAAGTCATTTATTCAAAAATACACTTGAAATAATATAATATCCTAACATTTTTTACATAAAATGGTCTTTGACTGTAATTAATTAGTAAAGCCAGTGCGATTGATTCATAATCTTTTCTGATAATTAATGGTTTGGCCAACCTTTATATTGCTTACAGGAACACCTCAAAGTAGTATAATTGTATATATATTTCTATTTATTTTTCATTTTTTTGGGAAAAAATTGAGGCACTCAACCAGAACTAGGGCTTCTATTTTAATAAGATTTATTCAAATTATTCATTATGAATTTGTATAAAATGAATAATTCGAGTAAACGAATAATACTCAAATAAAACGAATGATTTAATAAACCTTATTCAAATAGAAGGCTCTCTAATCGAACTATCTAAACCATACTACATATTAATATATTTAAAAAAACTTCGAGTATAATTAAAAGTACTCTGTACAGCAACAACAATCGAGATCTGTAAATATTAATTACATCATTGATGAAATACTATATGTTTTATGTTTTATAAATAGTTTTTTAAAGCAATAATTATTTTAATTGTCTGACTAGAGTCACTCTCTAACAAATCGATAAATAAAGCAAAAAGATCAACAAAAGAACTTTGTTAATATTAAAATAAAGACTGAAAAATCATGCCATTAAATTGATTCATTAGAATCCTCAAGATCAGTACTTTTTTGATTTTTAATATGAAATTTCCCCCGTGTTTTATAATAAAAAGATCGACATTTTACCGATTCATAGACAGTTCATCAATATTACATATTAGAATTTCAGAAGTTTGGAAAATCAACTAACCTTTTTATACATATTTCCAAGCACAATAAAACATAATAGAATAAATAAATATTTTTTCTAAATTATCAGGCAATAAATTATACAATCAATAATATAACCTGATGATACAAAAATGAAATAATAAATATCGCGACAAGAGTTTCTAAATCATCATATATAACGTATGATATAAAATTTCTATATAATAATAATAAATAAAAAAATCATACGTTACGAAAAGTAGTAATTTAATGAAAATGACACGGAGACCGACTTATCGAGAACAATTTACTTATCCTAAAAAGAGGGGTTGGCTGGCTTATAACTCATCGCGACTTTATATAGGTTGGCTGACTTATCAAGGGATTTTAAATAGGGAAAAAAAGGGTTGAAAATTTTGGCCGAGTTAGGCCAAAACCGACTTATCGGGTCTACCTATGTATGTGTTATCCATAGAAACATCGTATAATAGAATTCTTTCGGCAAAAAAATACGTAATTATTAATAAAATAAATCAAGTATTAATTAATTCTAATTAAATATTTATACATATTGAACAATCTTATATATATATATATATACACTTTCTCACGATATTAATATATATAGATATATTAAACTTATCATGACTTGCCAAAGTGCAATTTGGTAACATTTTAAACATATTGGTAATGTTAATGGTCATAAGCAATTACGTTTTGAATGTCTATATTGCAAAAGCTCAAAATATCAATGTACTAGTGCAGAACACCTAGCCCCTACAACTTTTATTGGTCTTGTAGATCCTTTAACTCTTCCAAAAATGGAAATATATGACCAAAAAACAAGATGTAATTTTGAAGCCAAGACCTTTCTCTACAAAGTTACATCTTCATTTTGTTGATACGTCATGTTGTTGTGGAGGAATTAAGTCTCAAAGTTGTATAAGTTTAACAAATTTACTATGTTAACCCAAAGCGACGTGGTTACACGAAAATTTTATATATTAAAAATGAACAAATTGGAAGAATTCCTTAAAAGACATCATCGATAAACCTTCTTTCTCTATGGCATTTCCGAGATTTATGATGACGCATAGTATAATAGGATATTGCAATAGTTGGGACACGCGAAAAAATATAATATTATTAATTTTTACTTTTATTTTTTTTTTAATGGATGTTTATTTCAAATTTTTGATTTATTGTTTTATATATAATATAAATATTTTTACATTTAAATAATAAATGTACTATAAAAATTCACCTAAATCAAACTCTAAAGCTGAACATGGATAAATTATTTCAAAATTTTCTAAAACTTTTGGATGAATTATACCAAAGTTTCCTATTTTTTTTGTGGTCAGAGTTTCTGAATTTGTCTTTTGTCGTAAAAAAATATCTGCACTACGATTAGGAAAATATGTTGGATCTAAATTTAAAAAGATATTTGTTAGATTTTCCTATTGAATTATTAAAATAATGTATGTTTATAAATTTCTTTACCGTTAGATTCTTTGATATAATAGCCAAGCTTATCTGAAGATGCAGGAACAAGTTCTACGTGCAACATGTTCATAAGACGATTTACAAGTCCATGGATAGTCTAGTCAAAAACGAATCATAACAATTTTTAATAAAAAAAAAAATCAAGAGTCTTTGATGTATTTAATGGTGATAATAAAAATATTTACCTCAAAACCTGATCCTTTAGCACAATGTAATGCACAAACATGTCTCTCATTTCTTGCACGTCTTTCTTGTGAATCGTCCTTAAAAGCCACATCTGATACTTCAAAAACTTTTATTGGTAAAGAATGTTTTTTATTTTCTTTAACAGTTTTCAATATTCCCGGTAAGAGTGAAGTACGAACAACTTGATATTCTGCAGTTTTTGGATTAGCCAATTTCACTGCAGTTTTATTGTCATCTTTTTTATTCAAATATGCAAAATTTTCATCATGAGAACACTATATATATATATATATGTAAAATAAAATTTCCAAAAGAAAAAAAATAATAACGTTAAAAAAACTAAATTTGTTTGAAACGATTTCAAAACTGATATGATATGATAACAATTACCAAAATCAAAGGCAATACTTCGGTGAATCCCGATAAGGCAATTTCTCTTCTAACCAAATCGCTTAATTTATTAATTGGAAATGCTTTCCCTACAGTAGCACTGTTGGGAAAAGTTTTTGGAATATTGTTAAATCCATAAGCAATTGCTACATCTTCCATAATATCACAAGCATGTAATATATCAGCTCTAGTTGGTGGTATATCAACCAAAAGTAGGTTTTCGTCTTTATCAGAAATAGTTGCTGACAATGACATTCTATTTAAAAGTTTGATTATATCAATGGCGTTAAGTTTTATGCCTATGCATGCATTAATATAATCAACTTTGGCCTCCATTCTACGTGGATTAAGATTTGGATAAGTGTGACAAGTGCCATCCGGATATAAAACTTCAACAGGTTCAACACTAAATGTATTTGATTTATTTATTTATAATAAAATAAATAATAAAATATTATTAACATCAATGTTTAAAAAATCAAAATTTTGATTTAAATTGCTTACGTGAAAGGTTGTTCACAATATTCAGAAAACATGGTAACAACAGTGTTTAATACAATTTTTGCTTTTGATAGATCAGTTGCTGTACATTCAATAAAAACATTTTTTGTTGCTAATGTAAGCTTTGAATGTTCTCCATTAATTATAGGAGGCAATGAGCAAACTATACGATTGCTATCATAAATAACTGGATAAACAGGCGAATCTTTAATAATATGAAGAAATTTTCCAAGATGCTTGTCATTCTATTTTAATCCCATCAAAAAATATATATATTAGATTATTTAGTTAAAAACAATGATTTATATATATGTAAATATTACTTCATAAAATTGCATTAACTCTTCACCAGTCATTTCTTTTGTTTGATTCAGTGGGGTAAATTTAATTTCATTCGGTTTAAGAGCTTCATAAGTAAAAGGTGCTTTTAATGTATCAAGATCATGTGTACCGATTGCAACCAAGGTTCTTTTTCTATATATATATATATATGAATTATTGAAACAAACAATAAATAAATACATGCAAAATATTTATACACATACATACTTGCAAAGATTGTTATGTAATTTATCTTGTAAATCAATGAAATTATTATAATTTTTTTCTGTGAATGTTATATTTCGAAGTATGGCACCAACAACATGAGGTCTAATTTGAGCTGTCTGTAGTAATAAAAAATTTTAAAAATTTTATTCATCATTACAATGAAACGTATTGTAAAAAAAATTAAATTTAGAGACAATAATACCTCTTGCTTTATTATGATTTGTGATTTACCATTTTCTGGTTCAATCAGTTTATATGTTGTCATTTTTGACTTTCCTTGAAAAATTAATATTCCTTTTGAAATACCTTCATGACAAAGAAGATCATATCTAATTGGTTTGATCAGATTTAATTTTTAAATAATTTCATAACAATCTAGATTAATAATGATCAATTCAAATTTCTTTACCTATTAGCAGGAATGTCTATTTTCAAGATAGACCGTTCAGATAATCCTTCAGCTTTGTCCGCACCAACTTCTTTTTGGGCCATTTCCTTTTCTGAAGTCTGGTTTATAAATAATCAAGTTGTAATAGATGAATTATTAAAAAAAAAAGATTTGAATTAACACAATATCAAGAATACAAGTACATCTTCTTCAAGTTCAATTCCAAATTCAAAACATAGTTCACGAAATTCTTCAGTTGCTAATATTGATAGATATTAATTAACATTTTTGAAAATATTGTGTTTTATCAAAAGAATTTTATAGAGCTTGTTTTCGAGAACAAACTAATCAATTCCTCATTTGTGCCTCCACATACAATATTGTTTTCCAAGACATTTATAGAATTCTTCTTTATCAACATTAACAGTAGGCATTTTTCTTTAAAATTTTTAATCTTTAGATGTTACGTGTAACAACACCCCAAATTAAATCTCTCTTCACATGTCATCAAAATTTTCCAAACCTTTTTTTCAATTATTAAGGAACAATAATAATTTGTGCAAATAAATTACGGGTAACCAAGGTATATAGTTGGATGAGGTCACGTTGGTCATGAGGCTCTGACTATAGCAACAGCACGTACAAGAGCAAAGATGTCATTAGCGACATGAAGATTGCATTGAATGGATTATGTGATTTCTTTTATTTAAAATATATGGGAGGTTCTCCAAGTTATAATAAAATTTTTTGAGTAACAATCCCTGTAAAATATGTTACGCATGGTTTGATATATATAGATTAAGCCTTTATCTCTAATCCTTATATATTTGTTTAAGGAGTCGTGTATAACTAATGCAGGTTTCTACAAATTTAGAAATCATTTACAAAAAATTAATGATGTTACACCCGCACATTTCACACATTGAATTTTATGCACTGTTAATTATTAAGGAGAATAAAATAATAATGTTACCGTGAAATCTCGAAAGATAGCACCACTACTTTAAATCATTGTTACACAGTTTAAACAGTTGTAAAAAAGGGGGTGCTATCTTCGAGACTCTATGATAATATATATTTGGATTTATCAGGAATTCAAAGTACAAGCAAAATATTAACTGGACTTATTTCTAAATAAAAACGAATAACGTATTAAAAGGGGCCCAAATAGATGAAATAAGAACATTCTAATTTATGATTTTTTTATGAAATCATATTATGGTAAGTTACAATGAATTAAATTAGCTTATACATATATTATATGAAGTAAATGTAATTTTTTATATGCCCAGGACTTTCAGAAATTATGAATTAATCGGATAGATTTTTGGAGATATGCGAAGCCAAATTTAGTTTACCACATTTCTACAACAAAAGAATGAATAAAAGAATCACGAAATGGATAATGGCAATAGTTAAAATATTGGTTTGTAACAAGTTCTAGCTGCACGTTGTTTCTAAACAAGATCATTACATCAATGTAGAATATTTAACGAGCTAATCTAGGATTTATTTTGGTAAAAAAAATTCATTGGGTGAACATCAAAGATGATCTTTGATTTTTAAATTTCTTTGAGACTTTTTATTTACGCAATGATTCCCTTTCCCCCTATTAGCTCTTTTTTACCATTAGTTTCTGATGTATTTCTTTAACACTGTCTTCTAGTTTTCCTCTTCTAAAATTTCCATCACTCATTCACATGATCGTGAACTGGCCCAAATGGATTAGTTATTTTTGCCATATTATTTTGTGTCAAAACATAATATTTTTCATGCGTATTAAATTTTGCCGAAATCATAATGGTTTGTTCATTTATAAGAAATAAGGAATATAAAGAAATTGAGTGCATACATTGTGTCCAAGATTCTTTCATTTGTTACTTGATAAAGATTTGTGATTTTTATTTTAATACCAAGTATCACAATAACAAAAATGCATTTTTTGTTGATCAATTTTCATCTGTCATTCTATCCACCGTATTGATTAAACGTTCTTAACTTTTTTTTCTTGCTTTCCATTTTTTGATTATTGTCTTTTGGTATATTGAAGAGAACAATCGGTGGATAATATTTTGACAGTATCATAATAAATGGGAAATGCTTATACTCGAAAGAGAATATTCTGTGCATGCGGTTCGTGCAACGTTGTACAATTCTCCGAATGTCAATCAACAAGTACTAGGACATATATGCCTTAAAAGGAGAATCCATTCAAATAAGAGAAAACCTTCTCTCTACTATTAAAATCATAAAACATGATTTTTTCTGAAGAAATCCATTTCAATATTGTTTGGAATTGGTTGGTTTTTGTCTTGAAAAACATTTGACGAACAATTGGTCTTATATTAATAAGAGTTCACGACGATGTAAAAAAAAAAGGATTTCGTCAATGCTACTGTCATAAAAAAGTTTTTTCACTTGAATAATGTTGTTGAAATTCATTGATTACTACTACAAATAGTCCCAGCAAAAATGTATTTATATATTCTTACCATCAGAAAATGAGCTATAAATTGGTTCATCATAAGTTTTCTTGCAGGTCTTGAAGAAGATAGAAATTTGAAGTTCTTGAAGTGTGATGCTGACAGAATCGTAATCAATTAATAATAAATTGGTATTAATACAAAAAGTGGTAAAAAAAATATTTTTATATCTCTTTTTGGGGGTAGTCACTTTTTTATGAAATTTAATATGTTTTTGGTAATGATCAGTCGCATTTTAAAATGTAAATTTTTAGATAATATTGATAAATCCCATCAAAAAAAATGAAATGTTATTTCATTCTTTATCTTTCTCCCTCACACAACTCATTCATTCATCCATTCATTTGCATATCTTGTATATTATTATGTTTATCAACCAATCGAATCTATATATTTTTCCATTCATCATTTATTCATCCATTCATCATTCATTCATCCATTCATCAATCCATCCATTCATCAAAAAAATAAAGAAAACCACAAACACACATCAATCAATCAAAATCTATCTTTTATTATAACAAATAAAGTTAGAAAATATGAATATTGCCGGTTATGACACAATTATCGTCATCTATAAAGAAAGAATGTTGTTGTGCGTGATTGTTTATTTCTTATTATTATTAATTAATTAACAAGTTTTATATAAAAAATATTTATGGTTAGTATTAGGATTTGTTCTATTCTTTTGGGGTGCTTTTGAGAAAAAATTAAAGTTTATATGTCACCCGCACGACCGTGTAACCACAGTACGGGTAGCAGTTGATTTTTAATTTAATACCACGAGTGAATGATATACTTTAATTTTTAAAAGGCATCGATCAGTATGATTGATGATAATTTCCAGAATTACTCTTATTATTTTATTATCTATCTATATATCACCATATCTATCCTATTGAATTATTGATTGATTGATTGATTGATACAATATAGGACGTATTTTCATATTTTCTAAATTCATCCATCAAAAAGTAGCATATAATTGTAATAATTATTATTATTAATATAAGATACATACATACGCATACATACACAACCGACATACATAATATGAATCTGATCCTAACTAAATTTGGATAGAATTACATGATTTCAAACAAGTTTTTATTTTCAAATAAATTTAATGACGATAAGGAAAAGGAAGGGAACAGAGTAAAAATTATGTTGGAGAGAAAGATTTATCTTTTTGCTTTTTGTTTTTTTTTGTTTAACAAACAGATAATAATAAATTCGATAAATTTAACTGGATAAATTAAGTTATTACTAAATTTAGAAAAAAATATTAATTAGATGAGAAGTTTTTAAATTTTCTTGTTAATAATTAGCAGTCAAATAAAGAAACTTGGTGACTGGATTTCTTGTGGATTGTGTTTTTTATTTATTAATTGTTGTTGTTCAACAATACATTAACTACACAATACACAACACATAATATTTACACTATCGTCGGTCCATTCTATAATAAATAAATCATAATAAATTCCAATTGGTTTTTCCATTAAGAAAACATTTTATTTTTAGAAAAAAATCAAAACCAAAGTAAAACAAGTTGAGAAATTGAATCTCCGAATTTTGTAATTAAATTTAATTAATTGACACTTGGTATGCTGGTTTTTTGCCAAAATTCACACAATCCAGTGAAATTTCTTGATTTTCGTGTTCCTCCTGTTACGATCAGCATCAAAAAACAATTATTAATTTTAATAAATGTGTGGAGAAATTTTAATTTGTTTTATTTGGATTATTGTTTAACAAATAAACAAAAAAATGGTAGATATAATATGGAAATTAGGAAAGAAATTTGAATTTTCTTTTTATTTATACTCATTATCTGTTCGATTTTGTTTAAAGATCATAAATAATCATAATTTAAGTAATAATGTATGAATGTGAGAATATAATATATTGTTGATATATTTTCCCCACTTTTTTTTTTTGTAATTTTTATAAAAAAAAAAAAAAAAACCAATTGGAACACAAAAGGAAGATTGAACGAGTGAGCGAATTAATCAAATTTGTTTTTTATATTACTCAATTATAATAATGTTGTATGTATGCCAATATATATTTTTATATTATTGCCAGTATGAATATATATTCCTAATCTTTTTTAATGATATTCCATTCAAACAAAGAAATATAGGGTTAAAGTGGAAAATTTTTAATTAAATATCTGTATTTTTAATCACATGATAAAAATAGCTAATATAATTTTCTAAAGAAGGGAATTTAAAATTTAAACTGTTGATTATGTTTAAACCTTAAATAATCAATAATCAAATTAATCAATTATAATAATAATAAATAAAACGAATATTGTATTATTAATATTATCATTTACTTTCGTTAATCGCGTTACAATAGAAAGCGATAAATTTTTCACGTTAAAACTGTTCAAATATCGCGAGTTGATTAATTAATGGATCAAATACGTTAAGGCCTAATTCAAAAAATGTTGATCCAAAATCCTCGGAATCACGCTGTCAATAACTGATTGGTATTATATAAAGTGTTACAAGACTAAATCAATTCAATTATTAAATACATACACAACTTCTGTTTTTTTTTTATTTTACTGATATATTTAAATTATGACGATGATGACTAATTATTGTTGTTTTTAAAAATATTCAATTCTTTTTTTTTTACCCAAATACGTGTAACAATATTGATACGAACATCATTTTCTTATGTACTCGTCCGTATCGTGATGTTGGTTCGGATTTAAAATTATAAATAAATATTAATTATAAATAAAATAAAATATAGTCAAATTTATTTTTGGCGTTTTTATTTTGTAACAATATTTGAAAATATTTGAATTATAATTTTCTATTATTCTTATATTTTACTATAATAAATATTTACATTATTATTATATTTCTTGTACAATCAATCAACTTCTTTTTTATATTAAAAAATCTTTTTTCATTCATCAAAAAAAACCT